TTTATTTTTTTTTTTTTGCGCTTGACTCAGGATTTAAAAACTGGAACGGTGAGGGTGACAGCAGTTGGTGTGGAGCAAGAATCCCCCCAGTTCTCCAATGTGGCCCAGGACTTTGATTGTACATTGTTCTCTTTTTTTTAAAATAGTCATTCCAAATAATCAACATGGTGATGTGACAGGAAGCTCCTGCCTTTCCAGAAGCCTCTCCCTTCCCCTAAGCAGAAAAGCCCCATCCCTCACCCGGGTCCACGCACGGACAGGGGTGGCAGGGAGCATTGCTTTTATGTAAATTATACCTTAACCAGGTTTTTAAAAAAAAAATTTTCCGCCTTAATACTTGTTCTTTAGTTTTTGTTTTTCAATAGTCAACCATTAGTGGCTCTACTTTTTTGGGGCCCTTGCCCTTTCCCTCAACTCTAGAAATATGAAGGCTTTTGGTCTCCCTGGGGTGGCTGAGATGTGGAGGCAGCCAGGGCTTTACCTGTACACTGACTTGAGACCAGTTGAATAAAAGTGCACACCTTAAAAAGTGAACAAAAAAATGGACTACTAAGAGAATAAACTTATCTATCCATCATGAAGAGGTCCAGCCAGAGTATTACTTAGAAGAAGAGATTGTTAGACTTTATCTCACATGCTTTGGGCATGTTTTCATGAGGAGCTAGTCCTTGAAGAAGGACATTATACTTGGAAAGTCAATGGTCAGCAGAGGAGAGGAAAACCTTTCATTGTCATGGTAACTGCAACAACAGGTTTAGATAATAGCTGAGATTGTAAAGATGGTGCAGGATCAAGCAAGTCAGCTTGATATCTCACAACAAACTTACTTGATAAAAGTGGAGAGGACATGTTTGCTTGCTGTAGATCATCTTGTTTTCTGATCAAGGATGACAGCCTTCAATATGGAAACATCTTAACAGACAATAAAACAGAAGTCCTCACTACTGGGCAGATAGGCAAAATCATGATAGATAAGATTATTGAAGTTTTCAATGACTTCATCTTGTTTGAATGAACAATCAACACCATTGATTCCAGCAGTCAGATCAGGAGATATATTTCATCAGGAAAGTCTGCTGTGAGAGATCTTACCAAAATACTGAAGAGCAGTGATGTCAATCTAAAGACTAAAATGCATCTGATTCAGGCCATGGTCTTTTCAATCACTTGCTGTGAATCTAAAAGCAAGGCAATGAATAAGGATTATAGAAGAAAAATTGATGCCTCTCAGTTGTGGTGTTGGAGAAGAACAGTGAATGTCCTATGGACTACCAAAGGAGCAAACATATCCATCTTGGGAAAAGGGCAGCTGGAGTGCTCCTTTAAAGCAAGATTACAAAGCTTCATCTCTCATACATTGGGCATGTTGCTAGGAGAGGTTATTCCTTGGAAAGGGACTTCATGCTTAGAAAAGTGAAGGGTCAGTGAAAGAAAGGACGACCCCCCAATAGGATGTATTGACACAGTGACTACAGCAATGGGCTCAAGTGTGTCAGAGACGATGAAGACAGTACTGGATAGTATCAGGTTTAGGTCTATTGTTCACAGGGTCTCTATGAACGGAACTGAATTTGATGGTACCTCTAACACCACTACCACCACCACCACCAGTAACAGTTCAGAGGCAAAAGTATTGGGGGAAATATATAAGCAATAATTCAAACTAAGAGTTGAGGCTTTGACAGGTAATAATCTGGAGAAACTTTGGCAAAAACAAGGAGAGAGGATAAAAGTCTTGCCTTAAAATCTAATAACCTCCTCATCCCTGTCATTCTACCAATCAGAATGTCGTTTCTAAACCATTCCAGAGCTTTTACTAACAATATATTTTTTAACTTAGTCTTTTGAGACTATAAGAGTTTGAACATAAGATCAGTTGCTTGAAGCCTTGTATATAGATGAAAAAAATTAATTTAGAGGCACTGAATAAATTTGATATGTGCAATTATTTATTTTTTCAATTATCATTTTATCATTATTATCCTTTTCTATTTTTCAACAAACTTATAAATATTATTTGAAAAGCCACATACAATATCTTTCAAAGCAAGGTAGTAATCACTCTCTCTTACCTTCATGTTGGGTTTGGTTCCTAAATGAGCCTCTGTTGGATTTCTGAGGCTGTAAATTGCTCAAGGAGACTCTCTCCTGTGGAGTGGTTGGTGGATTCCACCTGCCAAGAATCGTGGCATTTGGGTTACAGCAGATTACACCCTTAGAGCTCCCTAAGAAGAGCTGCTGGTTTTGTTATTACATACTCTCAAGTCAGAATGGACTCAAAGCTGATTCTCTAGCAGGCTTTCAGAGACTGAAAATGGCACAGAAATAGATTGCCCTTTTTTCTACATGGAGCAGCTGGTAGGGTCAAACTACATAGCTTTAGATCAGCAAAGCAACTCCCTTACTCACTAGGCCACAAAAGCTGTTGAGTGTACTGTTGAGCATTTATACTGTTTACTCTGAGCTTGTTGTGTACTGTTGAGTACAAGCATTAGTAAAAACTAAAACTATACATCTCAAAACGGGAGTTTTCTGGCTTATCATGTTGTTGTATATCAAAGTCAGAACCTCAATACAGCTGATCCTCCAAGAAGGTTTCCAAAGGCACTGAATCTTGTGGAAGTTCATTGCCTATCTTTCTCCTGTGGAGCAACTGGTGGATTTGAACCTTGTACCTTTACACTGAATCGTCTTTGACTAAAAGGCACTTAACAACAATAGAGAGCTCAGTTGGCCAGAATGGACAGAAAGTGATGCTACCAAGCCAAAGGTGAGTGATTTTAATCTATGACCTCAGGCCTAGTTTTAATTGTTTTTGGTTAAACACTCTCTAATTGGTATAGTACTGGTCTGTCCATTTGTTCTACAGAGGTAACTCATGGTTGCTGTAATGCTAAACACTGAGACACTGATGTGTCAAATGTGATAATGGTTACCCATGGTGGACAGTGTTTGGTGGAGCTTCCTGATTAAAATGAGCTTAGAAACAGGAGTGGCATCCACTTGCAAAGTAGCTTGCCTCCGGAAACCCTATGAATTTGAAGAAACTATGAAACTTGTACAAGTGTTCAGGCCATTCATTCATAGGGTCACTATGAGTCGCCTACGGCTCGACAGCACTCAACACAACAGCCTTTGCATTGGGAGAGCAATTCCTTACCACTAATGTGTACTGTAAAAATAAACTGGTCTATGATTACTGTGAAATTACTAAGAAGTTAATTGCTTTGACTGATAGTACTTTTATTACACAATCACTTGGTAAATATGGCATCATCTGCATGGAAGTTCTGATTAGTGAAATCTGTGCTGTTGAGAAATGCTTCAAAGAAGCAACTCCCTGCGGCCTTTCAGTTTATCTTCTCCGTGAGTTAGAAAAAAGAAAAACACCATCCATTTTGTAGAAGGTGTTGAGCTAGGAAATAGGGAACACTAGATCAACAGACTCATTAAAAGGAAAAACTGTAGTGTCAACTATGATTATTTTTGTAATGTAATTAGAAAAACAGCAAATATTTTCAAATTGGAAGGTAGAAGAGTACAACACTCAGAGTAAACATTCCTTACAAGTAAAGCTTTACTACTGTTTGGTTTAAAGACTACAGGGGATACAATTCTTGAAAGATTATCTCCAGATAGTAGTTTTAAGGATTCATCGATCTTAATGGCTTCAGAAAGACTAGAGTCCATGAGAAACTGAAATTCTTCTCTATCTTTTTTTACCTTTTCCATCAGGATTCACCTATAAAATCTTCTACCAAAACATTGAGTAAGGGTAGTCAGGCACCATTCTGTTCTTCAGACAATGCTACTTTTGTCTAAAAGAGGCAGTTGTTTATGATGGTGATTAGATACACATTCCATTTCCTCCTCCTCTTCCTGATTCCCCTGCTCAAGATGAATAGAAGCAAATTGTACCTTAAATAGTCATTTGCAAGCAGGTAGTAGGCACTATGCAACAAACTAGGAGGTAAAACAGAACCACTGAACATATTCCTAGGTAAATTAACTGGGATGACTCTTATAACCTCCTAGCCAAGAAACCAAATTCCATGAGGTGTTTAGTTGTATAACCCCATTGTTGGAGAAAAAAATATCACATCATATTTATCTAGACATGTGTCAAAAAAAAAGAACCTCAAACTCATTGCCATTAATTTGAAATCTCAGTTCAACTATTAGTGGATATTCAGAGGCAGTAAATTTCACAGGATAAGATTTTCCTCTTTCTCCCTTGGAGGCAGCTGGTGGATTTGAACCACAGCCTTTGGATAGGGAGCACAGCTCCTCCCTAACCACTACAAATCCTTTATCAAATATATGATTTACAAAGATTTTCTCCTAGAGTGTAGCTTGTCTATTCATGTTTTTAACGGTATCTTTCAGAAAGAAAGATTTGTCATTTTTATGAACCCTAATTTATCAATTTCTTCTCTTAAAGATTGTAATTTTGTCTAACTTAAAATCATGAAGGTTTTCTTCTAAATATGTTTTAGTTTTACATTTTTTATTTTTTATTATTATTAAATTTAATGAATGTTTACAGATATTTTGGATTTCCATTCATTCATTCATTGCTGAATTTTTCTCCCTACCCACCCCTTACCAACCTCCCCCCCCAGTACGCTCTTCTCTTTGAAAAGTAAAAGAAAAATTCTTTCATTGGTATACAATCCCCCCTCCCCCAGTTTTACATTTTAAATTTACATCTTTCATTCTTTTTTCTTTTTTTTGTGGTTTTTTTTATGTTTTTTTAAAAAATAATTTTAATGAACATTTACAGAGAATTTGTATTTCCATTCATTAATTGCTGCACTTCTCTAACCGCCCAGCCCTCTCCCCCCACCCCCCAGTTCGCTCCTCTCTTTCAAAAGTAAAAGAAAAACTCCCTCCCTCCCTCAGCCCCAAGTACATTCCACTATGCAACCTTAATTGTGGACTCTTGTGATAACCATAACACCCTATCATACATCGCTTTTAAATTATTCAGTCCCTCATCTGTTTCAGTGCAGTATACACAATTTATCCAGTTTTTCTCAGTCTTACCCCCACCCTGATATCAGTCCCATTTTACAGCAGTGGCACCATGCAATATTTGTCCTTTCGCAACTGAGATATTTCACTCAGCATAATGTCCTCCAGGCTCACCCATTTTGAATAATATTGAATGAGTTCCTTGTTTTTCAATGCAGCATAGTATTCCGTTGTGTGAATATACCACAGCTTCTCTATCCATTTTTTTGTTGATGGGCACCTGGGTTGTTTCCAACTCCTTGTTATTGTGAACAGAGCTGCAATAAACATGGGTGTGCATATATCTGCTTGGATGTCAGTTATGGTCTTCTTGGGATATATTCCCAGTAGTGGAATTGCTGGGTCAAATGGTATCTCTATTTGCAGCTTTTTGAGAAAGTGCCACACCACCTTCCACAGTGGTTGCACATCTTTCATTCTTTTACTTTCATTTTGTATGAGATCAACACCTAAGTTTTTTGTTTTATATTTGCATATGAATATTCAATAATCCCTAAGTGATTTCTTGTATTGTCTTGACATTGTCTGAAAATTAATTGACCATAATATAAGGATTTCTTTCTGGCTTCTCACTTCAGTTTTGTTTATCTATAAACCAAATTTTGTGACAAACAAACATTGTCTTTGTATTATCTTTTATATAAATGCAAAAAACCCTCAAACTTACTATCATCAAGTCAGAACTAACTGCTAGCTGGCCCTCTAGTGGGTTTTCAGAGGCAGTAAATCCTGTGGGAGTTGATTGCCAATCTTTCTCACAACAAGCTCCTGGTGGATGGATTAGAACCACCAGATAGGTAACCCTTTGGGTTAGCAGTGCAGCTCTCTAGAGGCCATGTTACCGTGGCGCACTATGGACTTACAGAGAGTCTCGTAATGGTTTTTTAAATTATTTTTCAAAATTGTTTTGGATATTCTAGATCCTTTGCATTTCCATGTTTTTCTAAGGCTCAATTTATCAATAACTGCAAAATACTGGCAGTGATTTTGATAGAAAGCGCATTATTTTTATAGATCCTTTTGGAAATTATTACCATTGCCTTGGTTATCTGTTTTGTTGGTTATATGTTTTGTTGTTGTTGTGTGTATCACAGAGTCAACCAGCCCATAGCTGACCCTCCGGCAGGTTTTCAGAGGCAGTTAATAGCATGGAAAGAGACTGCCCTCCCATCCTTCTCCTGAGGAGCAGCTGGTAGCCTCAAACTGCATGCCCTTCAGATTGCAGCACAGCTTCTTGCCACGAGGCCACCAGAGCTCCCTTCTAATGCTGCCATAATAGACACTACAAGTGGATGCCCTTAACAAGCAGAACTGTATTCTTTTACCGGTTAAGAGATTAGACATCTAAATTCAGAGTACCAATAGCCCACCTCCCCCTCTCCTGCTCCCGGGGAAAGGTCTTTGTTTCCACCAGCATCAGTAGAGCTAGTGTCCCCTGGAGATCTCCATGTGTTTTGGTACTCCACCCCCCTGCTCCTACACCCCCATGTTATCGAGCTTCCTAGGGCAGGGACCTGAGTCTAAAAGGACCCTCCTGTCCTAGCAATTCTTTCTTTGTGATACTGAGGTATCACTCTCTCAACTTACTTTCTTATCTGTTTGTCTCTTCTGAAAGGGAGCCCTGGTAATGCAGTGCAGAGTGCATTGGGTAGCTAATCGAAAAGTCCCCTCCACCAGATGCTCTGCCGGAGAAGGAGGCGCAATATCCTCCTGTACCAGTCAGATCTGATTTGACGGTACACGCACACAAAATAATAAAAAAATTTAAAAAAAAAAAAGAAAAGTCCCCACTTTAAGCCCACCAGCTGTACCTTGGGAGAAAGATCAGCAGTCTCCTTCTACAGATATTTATAGCCTTAGAAACACAATAGAGGGACTAACAGGCAGTAGGTTTATCTCTTGTGTGGTAAAAGATATTACAAACTATACCCTATGAACCTGGAGAAATGATGGAAGTTATACAAGTGTTCAGGTCTTTCTTTCATACAGTCACTATGAGTCACCTATGACTCGATGGCAATTAACAACAACATAGAAATAGCTCAGTTGGCTTAGTGGACAAAAAGTGATGCGACCAAGTCAAAGGTGAGTGATTTTAATTTGCGGCCCTCAGGCCTGGTTTTAATGGTTTTTGGTCAAACATTCTTCTAAGTGGTACAGCATTGGTCTATCCACTTGCTGTACAGAGGTAATTCATGGTTGCTGTGATGCTAAACACTGTGACACAGATGTATCAAATGTGATAATGGTTACCCATGGTGGACAGTGTTTGGTGGAGCTTCCTGATTAAAACATGCTTGGAAGCAGGAGTGGTGTCCACTTCCAAAATAGTTTGCCTCCAGAAACTCTACGAACTTGGAGAAATGATGAAAGTTATACAAGGGTTCAGGTCTTCCATTCATAGGGTGGCTATGGGTTGCCCACAACTCAACAACCCTGTGGAAATTCCCCTTACATCATTTTTTAGTTGTGATGGGATTAAGGGCTGTTGCACTTTTACCCTTATTCCTATTTGGTTTCTCATATCCTGGGAAATCACTATGTGGTTTAGGTTTTAATATCATTGTTGTTGTGGTGTACAAGCGAGTCTGAGCAGACCCATAGCTGACCCTCCAGTAGGTTTTCAGAGACAATAAAACGCACAGGAAGAGTTGGTCCATCTTTCTCCTGTGGAGCAGCTGGTGGATGTGCATTGGGAGTGTAATTCCTTACCTCTAACCCAATAGAGCCACCCACCTTATATCATTGGATACATATAATTTGAAGTGCCGCACAATGCATGACACACAACAAAAAGAATTTTTTAACCCAAAAATGTGAAATGTTTCTCCTTTCATTTAAATATTTTTCTTTCCCATTTGTTTTCATCTTTTTATTTGAGACTTTTTCTTGAAGTTTCTGAGATTTCAAGAAAGTACCACATTTTTTTTTCTCTTGTGTCCCGTCAAATTGAATCTGACTGACACACAAAGAGATTGCTCCTCCTTTTCCAAAAGAGCATCTGGTAGATTCAAACCATGTGCCTTTGGGATTGCAGTGCAGCTTCTTGGCATCAGGCCACCAGAGGTCCCTAAAAAAGTATCACATTTTAAGGTGCTAAAAAGAAGATTCCAAAGGGCAGGGGAGGAAGACAAGGCAAAGCATTATAATGAAATGCGCAAGGAGCCGGAGTCAGAAAATCAAAAGGACTGAACTTGCTCAGCTTTTCTTAAACAGAAGGAACTAAAGAACAAATTCAACCCGTGAGTTGCAATGCTTAAGTATCCTATGGGCAGAATATTGAATATCCAGGAAGCACTAAATGAAGATGGAAGGAGTATACAGAGTCACTGTACAAAAGAATTGGCTCACACAGAAGAATTTCAAGAAGCAACATATGGTGAAGGAGGACGTTCAGGCTGCTCTGAAGAACCTGGTGAAAAATAAGCCTAGGAAATGATGGAATACCAACTGGCATATTTCAAAAACAGATGTTGTCTTGGATGTACTCAGCATGTTGTGCCAAGAAATCTGGAGGACAACCACCTAGCCAACTGAGTGGAAAAGAGCCATATTTATTCCCATTCCAATAAAATGTGGCATGACAGAGTGTGGAAATTATTGAACAATATCACTCATATTACACACAAGCAAAATCCTGCTGAAGATTATCCAGAAACAACTGGAACAGTTCATTGACAGAGAACTACTAGAAATACAACCTGGGTTTAGAAGAAATCATGGCACTAGAGACATTATTGTAAATATCAGATGGATCTTGGCAGAAAGCAAAGAAATATCTGTCAGTGTTTCATTGACTATGCAAAAGCATCTGACTGTGTAGATCACAGCAAATCGTGGCAAACACAAAATGGTAATCCGAGAATATTTGATTGTGCTTACATGAAACTTATACTTGAACTAGGAAGCAGTCCTCATAACAGAACTCATCAGGGATGTATCCTGCCTCCATATCTTTTCAATTTATAAGTAGAACAGGTCATTCAGGAGACTGAGCTTTATGAGGAAGAATGTGGCATCAGGATTAGAGGAAGACTCATCAACAACCTGCATTATGCAAATGGCATAACCTTGCTTACTGAAACTGAGGAGGACCTGAAGCACTTGCTGAAGAAAGTCAAGGTCTGTAGTCTTCAATATGGATTGAAGCTCAACATCAAGAAGACAAAGATTCTCTGCAGTAGGCCAAATGGTACCACCATGACAAATATTGATATTGTTAACAATTACAGTTTGCTTGGTTCGACAATCAACACTGTTGGCACCAGCAGTCAGGGAATCAAAAGATAGATTGCACTGAGAAAATCTGCTGTCAGGTACCTCTCCTTGAGTATTGAAAAGCAAGGATGTCAGTCTAGAAATTGCATACGACTCAGCTATCAACTCCTTGGAATATACCTCAAGAGAATGAGGACTGAGGCACAATTGGAGACTTGTATAGCAGTGTTCATAGCAGCGTTATTCACCATCACAGGAACATGGAAACAACCCAAATGTCCAACCACAATTGAATGGATTGAGAAATTATGGTACATACATAATGAATAGTACATGATGGAATACTATGCAGCATGCAAAAGCAATAATTGTGCAAATTACTACCGAACTTGGGAGGGACAGGAGAGAATTATGCTGAGTGAACTAACTCAGGCCCATAAGGACAAATACT